GGGGTTGTTATATCTCATTCAAACTTTTGAAAGAAACAAAGAATGCAGGAGGATTTGTAAAAAGATGGATTAACGAAAAGATGTTTTCAATAATTAGTGGGCCGCTTGTTCTAAACCTTGAGTTTCTGATAATGACAATTTATTCGTAACTTACCGACGACTGATGATCGATTGGAACCAAACATTCACATCGTCGTGTAAGTTGTTAACCAGTTTCAGTATGTAAAGAGAAATTGGTAATTATTTTGTGAAATGGTTGGTTTCCTGATAAATATATGCATGGAAACGGCATAATTATCATATTTATTTTGTTGCTTTCGCCCCTCTGTATGCAGTGGGTTCTGGGAGCTCCTTAGGGAGGCAAAGCGTGAAGCTGCTACTGACTCTCACCGAGTGCCAAGGTTAATTAAGAGCAGGCCTTTTTGGAGTTTCGCAAACAGACGATTTTGCAATTTTCATCTATCACGATCTGAAACTCAAAAACTGTGGTTCATGACACAGTCATTGAATTCGGTACACAAATGAAATAGGTTAACTGGAATGTTTTTGACGAAACCCACATGGACTTTATGTCCGTAGACCAAAAGGTAAATGATTGTCTGATGCATTTCCTACCCAAAATGGCCTCTTCTTCGCCACAATGAGATCATCCCTGGGGCCCACCCAGAATTCTATCCAATGGGTTCTGGGAGCCTCAAGACGACCACTCACCTCCGTGCAGTGCTAGGTTAAGAACGTGTGGAAACATGCCTTCACTTGCCCTCAACACTTCATGACATATTTAAGCACACGGGTAATATGGCATTTTCCTCTGGCAGAATTTGCATGTATGTAGTTCCAAATCTCCATCTGGAAACCCGTCACTTTCGGAAGACGCTTCATGTTTCACACTGTCATTTCGAAATATCGTAACTGTGATTTTTGAAACATATTTTGTGAATATATGCCTTCAGTGTAGTATTTTAGTTTTCACTTCCAGGACAAGATTATGCAAATCAGGACAAATTAAATCCAGGACGGCGCTCCGGTGCGACCTGACAACTCTGGAGTTGACTGGTTGGAAGGTTTTTATACGAAAACTGTGAGGCTAGTCCAGATTTAAGGGCTGACGTAAGCTATTAAAAACATGAACAGAGAAATCGTCGTATAAAACTAAATGTTCCCCAAAGACAGGCACTTGTCACTTATCCACCAAACTAATATCCCCGCGAGCCAATGAAACCCCGTATTAAAAAATAAAAATATGCCGGACTTTATCGTAATACCTCCACCGCAGAGCTGCATCACAGTTCCAAAAGATTGTATATCGAAGTACTACCCATCTGGTCCTCACGTACGCAGTTTTGATGCCAAGAAACAATGACAACGTAGTGTTATATGCTCACCTGAACAAGCGTGGGTTTTGATCCTGTTAATTATCCTTCATAAAATGTCTGGAAGTTAATACACAATTTCTTGATTGCGGACACTGTTATCACTGCAACACAAACACTTCGCTACAACATTCCATGCAGGACTGGCGCCAAAGGAAACTCTCGGTGTCTTGCGTTCTTGTACGCATGCGCAGTACGGCTAAAGGAGCACACCTGTTCTACTGCAGCCACACCGCCTCGAGGATCCGACATTCCTCAGCGCTGCGCGAGAGAATGAACAGTATAGAATGATTTCAACCCTTCTGATCGCTACAATATTTTATAAGTGTTCTCTCTCAGGGCTGGCCAAAGAAGGCGAGTTCCTGCACCAAGTTTGCAAATTGTTAATTTGTATTTTGTTTTTATTGATATGAGTATTATAAATTGATAGTTTGGACAATATTTGAACCTAACAGTCACAGAAGAATAGTGACAACTTCATAATGAGGAGCATAATAACGTTTGCATTCCTCGCTTGATACCCTTTGGACAATTAAATCAAGAAGTATGTTCGAGCCGTGTAACACGCATACAAAAGATTTGACGGAAAATTTGTAGGTTAGAGACCAATTGGGAAACAAAGGTCTATAGTGGAGGATAACGGATATAGAATTAATACGGGAAATGAGTAAGGGCTAGACGACCAGAGCCAATATGCTGGTAGTAACTTCCGATTTATCCATTAAACACCACGCTCGTGTGAGCTGCTCAACTGTCAGCAGTGTCGATCGTTGGTCTCAGAGTAACATTTCACGCAGTGTTTCTATTTTCAATGAGAAATTAATGTTTTGTGTTATGGTAATGCGGCGGGACATGAATCTAACCACTCACATTCTTCTAATATCAAGGCTAAGAATGCGTGGAGTCGTACCTCCACTTTCTCATAGGTTTGCATGGCGTGGTTCTTAATTAATCACCAAGGGAGTTTTTATTTGCGTTCACATACTGCATTACAAATCGACAAGATAATCATGCAAAGATATTTTCGGTTTAATCGGACTATATTTATTCTGTGTTTGAAAATGCATCTTTGCGGGTTCATGAACTGCTTGTCCACAGACTAAACAATCAGTTGTCGATTCCCGACAGGAGTAGAAAGTCATCTCCAATGCGTCCAGACCGGTTCTTGTTCTACTCATTCTCCTCTTCAGTGAACGCCACTAGCTCGTCGCACTGACCAGTGAAGCCGACAGCTCATCTCCAAATGGTCTGCTTTCTTTATTTCCACGGCTGCGTAACTTGTGCTAAGCTACGAGGAGCGATTTTATCTTTTGTATGTCTAGCTACGTGTCCATTCACCTGTTTATTCATTCATCTCTCTGTTTATCTGTCCATATTATATAATTTATATCAATAACTCCAAGTAAGATTGTCCCTGTGCCTATGTGCCGCGCCTTGAAGGCGTATGGAGGGCATGGAAGTAAAGATCCACGCTTTCTATACCTCGGCATTAGACTCAAGTGTAGTGAGGAGGCAGCTTGGCGCTGCAGCATATAGACCCCCAATAAGAGACCACTGGCCACTGGGTAGGAGGTTTGGTGGACTCCGCCGATTTGAAGGCGGCTTACCTGCCGGGGATAAATCTCAGGCCGCCCAGCCCGTAGCAGTTAGTTTACTAACAGAGCTGTTCTGGCTCATGATTAACCCTTCAAAACTGAATGGTAACTATGATTACCTGCTTCAGCAGATCTTTGTTTCGTATTTATGGATTTTATGCGATTCTCATTATAAAAAGGATTATTTTCTTGAAGATCATTAACAAGTTGATCTTTGTAATGGTGATGAGTTATGTTATCTTTGCGGTACAGGTTGAATTTTTAAATATTATTTAAAAGAGCTGCAGCTTCCAAGGGTTTATTAATTTGTATCAAAATTATTAATATTTTGCCCCAGACTTCTAAAATGTAAGTAACACTGGAGAGCTGTGTGGAGCTCTGAAACAGAGCAGAGATGTGTTGCAGGGGACTCAAAAATGCACGAGCCCGATTTTAATTTTAGACTAATTACTCGAGTCCCGTTTTTTGGCGGAGCGGAAAATATCAGATTTTACAGGAGATGCACTAGTATAAAAAATATCGATATATACACCCATTTAGGTTGTCGATACATCTTGCTCGTCCCTACTTCCAAATGCCAAAACGAAAACAAAAAATAAATTATGCCTTGCTGACGTGAGCTCCTTGTTAACAAATTAGCAACACACCCCTCCAATGGGGTGGGTAATTTACACGTCTTTAATAACAGAAATCAATATTACATGGGTACGAAGCCAGTATTTGAAGGGCAGTGATAAGATTTATGAAATAATTTCGATCTAATTAATTCTGTCAGTTCTTGTTACTTTCTGATTATTCCTACTTGCTGAAACATCTTCTTTACGCTTAGTGGCTAGGAACTGTTATATGGCAGCGTTAGAGGAAATGAGATAAAAACCAACGACACCAAGCCATCAGACTATCTCAGTGCGTTTGTTTGGGCAACCTTGTTTTCTCTGCGCTTCTTATTCACAGGTATCAGAAAAAATGTTTGTTCATGACCCCACGTAGAAGCCGGTTATTGGCCAAACTTTGCTACATGACCTTGTTAATTTGAAGAATCTCTGCTTAAGGAGCGGCAGAGATCCTGCAGACGGGCTGGACGACCACTCTTCGTTTCCCGGTAGGAAAACAGATTATTTTTAATTTTCCTTCAATAATATATTTTTGTCACACATTACTGCTTTTTTGACAATATTGCTAGAGAAATTGATAGTGCACACATTCCTTTCTGTTATACTTAAGTGACAAGTTTCTGATAAGTTAAATTATTTCGCATGCTCTTGGGCATAAATTTTAATTATGAATGTTTTAATATCACCGATTACGACGCTATTTGGTTCTCAGTCGTTAAGATTTCATCGTAAATAAACATATTTTTACGTGTTAGTAATAAAACGACTTGTATAATATAATTTTCACTCTAAGACTTGAAGCTATAATTTTACTAAGCAATGCGAGACACATCGGATAGCGGTCCTCGGAAACACTACCGCTGCATTACCAATCAATCCATGAATCAGAAATGTAGGGAACCGCTGTCTTACGTGAGTCATGTTTCCTTAAAAACAGTGTCTCTGTATCCAAGAAGAAATTTTACTCGAAAGTTTAAAATTACTGTTATTTCTCAGCCGCGTGAAGTAACTGAGAAAAATATTACCTTTAAGGTCAGAGGTGTGCATTGGTCAATTGGTTCATTAGCTGACTGCCGTATATTGCTCAATCTCCTGACATATATTCACAAACGAACTGCTACAAGGATTCTTCCTTCTCACTTTTAACCACAGATTTGTGTATTTTGCGTCTACGAACAAAATAATTAACCTACTAAATAACTAATTCACTGTTCCTCAACTTTTCCCATATGGCAATATAGGCTTACTAAAATACGTAAAATGTATTTCGTTGAAGTTGGCTGTCTTCTGGGCTGTTGCGCCGTGTAGTTTGGTATAAGTTTACCGACGTTTCAGAGGTCCTTGCTGCCTCCATCATCAGGGAGATGGATTGGCCTGATGATGGAGGCAGCAAGGACCTCTGAAACGTCGGTAAACTTATACCAAACTACACGGCGCAACAGCCCAGAAGACAGCCAACTTCAACGAAATACATTTTACGTATTTTAGTAAGCCTATATTGCCATATGGGAAAAGTTGAGGAACAGTGAATTAGTTATTTAGTAGGTTAATTATTTTGTTCGTAGACGCAAAATACACAAATCTGTGGTTAAAAGTGAGAAGGAAGAATCCTTGTAGCAGTTCGTTTGTGAATATATGTCAGGAGATTGAGCAATATACGGCAGTCAGCTAATGAACCAATTGACCAATGCACACCTCTGACCTTAAAGGTAATATTTTTCTCAGTTACAAAAAATAAATTATGCCTTGCTGACGTGAGCTCCTTGTTAACAAATTAGCAACACACCCCTCCAATGGGGTGGGTAATTTACACGTCTTTAATAACAGAAATCAATATTACATGGGTACGAAGCCAGTATTTGAAGGGCAGTGATAAGATTTATGAAATAATTTCGATCTAATTAATTCTGTCAGTTCTTGTTACTTTCTGATTATTCCTACTTGCTGAAACATCTTCTTTACGCTTAGTGGCTAGGAACTGTTATATGGCAGCGTTAGAGGAAATGAGATAAAAACCAACGACACCAAGCCATCAGACTATCTCAGTGCGTTTGTTTGGGCAACCTTGTTTTCTCTGCGCTTCTTATTCACAGGTATCAGAAAAAATGTTTGTTCATGACCCCACGTAGAAGCCGGTTATTGGCCAAACTTTGCTACATGACCTTGTTAATTTGAAGAATCTCTGCTTAAGGAGCGGCAGAGATCCTGCAGACGGGCTGGACGACCACTCTTCGTTTCCCGGTAGGAAAACAGATTATTTTTAATTTTCCTTCAATAATATATTTTTGTCACACATTACTGCTTTTTTGACAATATTGCTAGAGAAATTGATAGTGCACACATTCCTTTCTGTTATACTTAAGTGACAAGTTTCTGATAAGTTAAATTATTTCGCATGCTCTTGGGCATAAATTTTAATTATGAATGTTTTAATATCACCGATTACGACGCTATTTGGTTCTCAGTCGTTAAGATTTCATCGTAAATAAACATATTTTTACGTGTTAGTAATAAAACGACTTGTATAATATAATTTTCACTCTAAGACTTGAAGCTATAATTTTACTAAGCAATGCGAGACACATCGGATAGCGGTCCTCGGAAACACTACCGCTGCATTACCAATCAATCCATGAATCAGAAATGTAGGGAACCGCTGTCTTACGTGAGTCATGTTTCCTTAAAAACAGTGTCTCTGTATCCAAGAAGAAATTTTACTCGAAAGTTTAAAATTACTGTTATTTCTCAGCCGCGTGAAGTAACTGAGAAAAATATTACCTTTAAGGTCAGAGGTGTGCATTGGTCAATTGGTTCATTAGCTGACTGCCGTATATTGCTCAATCTCCTGACATATATTCACAAACGAACTGCTACAAGGATTCTTCCTTCTCACTTTTAACCACAGATTTGTGTATTTTGCGTCTACGAACAAAATAATTAACCTACTAAATA